GGGGTGGGATGAGTTGGGGAAGGGATTTGGGGTGGGGTGAGTTAGAGTGGGAACTTGCAATGGGGATTTGGGGTGGGGATTTGCGGTGGGGTGGGAATTTGGGGTGGGGTGAGTTGCGGTGGGCATTTGGGGTGGGGTGGGGATTTGGGGTGCGGTGGGGATCTGGGATGGGTTGAATTGGGGTCTGTGATGTGAGGGGGGGTCTGTGATGTGAGGATGGGGGGCCTGTGATATGAGGGGGGAGGTCTGTGATGTGAGGGGGGTCTGTGATGTGAGGGGGGGTCTGTGATGTGAGGGGGGGTCTGTGATGTGAGGGGGGTCTGTGATGTGAGGATGGAGGGAGGGTCTGTGATGTGAGGATGGGGCCTGTGATGTGAGGGGGGTCTGTGATGTGAGGATGGGGGGTCTGTGATGTGAGGATGGGGGGTCTGTGATGTGAGGATGGAGGGTCTGTGATGTGAGGGGGGGTCTGTGATGTGAGGATGGGGGGTCTGTGATATGAGGGGGGAGGTCTGTGATGTGAGGGGGGTCTGTGATGTGAGGGGGGTCTGTGATGTGAGGATGGAGGGTCTGTGATGTGAGGGGGGTCTGTAATGTGAAGAGGAGGGGTCTGTAATATGAGGAGGGGGGTCTGTAATGTGAGGGGGGGGGGGTTCTATTACCTCCAAAGACACCAGTCCATTTGTTAGTGACTTGGATTTGTTGCCTCTTCCTGACAAGCTGGCCAAGAGGACCGCCCAGCTTGCCCTTCAGGTAGGACACACACACCTGTAACAGGCAGAGACAGTGTCAGGAAGGCAGAGACAGTGTCAGGAAGGTGGAGAAAGTGTCAGGAAGGCGGAGACAGGGTCAGGAAGGTGGAGAAAGGGTCAGGAAGGCGGAGACAGGGTCAGGAAGGCGGAGAAAGGGTCAGGAAGGCAGTGACAGTGTCAGGAAGGCAGAGACAGTGTCAGGAAGGCAGAGACAGTGTCAGGAAGGCAGAGACAGGGTCAGGAAGGCAGAGACAGTGTCAGGAAGGCAGATACAGGGTCAGGAAGGCGGAGACAGTGAGGAAGGCGGAGACAGGGTCAGGAAGGCGGAGACAGTGTCAGGAAGGCAGAGACAGGAAGCCAGAGACAGTGTCAGGAAGGCAGATACAGGGTCAGGAAGGCAGAGACAGTGTCAGGAAGGCGGAGACAGGGTCAGGAAGGCAGAGACAGGGTCAGGAAGGTGGAGACAGTGTCAGGAAGGTGGAGACAGTGTCAGGAAGGCAGGAACAGTCTCAGGAAGGCAGATACAGTGTCAGGAAGGCGGAGACAGGGTCAGGAAGGCGGAGACAGGGTCAGGAAGGTGGAGACAGTGTCAGGAAGGCAGGAACAGTCTCAGGAAGGCAGATACAGTGTCAGGAAGGTGGAGACAGTGTCAGGAAGGTGGAGACAGGGTCAGGAAGGCAGAGACAGTGTCAGGAAGGCAGAGACAGTGTCAGGAAGGCAGAGACAGGGTCAGGAAGGCAGAGATAGTGTCAGGAAGGCAGAGACAGGGTCAGGAAGGCACTGATCAAAGCACAAATGAAGGTTCAAGGCACATACAGATGTGCAGGTGCTCATTTTGCTGTGCATAGATGTGCGCAGATGCACGTGCGTGGGGGTGTGCACGTGTACCCGCCGTTAGGACTGGCACCAAATGGACTATTTAAGTGCAGCAGTTGCACTAGTCAGTGTTGTCTGATCTATGGCTATTCCCGTGTTCCTGCATCTGCTCCTATGTTTGACTTCTGTGACTGACCGGTTTGTCCTGACCACACTTGACGCTACCTGCCCTGACCTTGGCTTGTGTCTGGACTCTGCTTTGTGTCCTACTCATCTGCCTGCTCCAGTGTTGCTGACCTCTGCCTGTATCCTGACCCTTCTCTGCCTACAGTCCATGCCTGTATCTAACGTCTGTTGCTGATCTGGCTCATCTGACCACGCGTCCAGTTATCCATCTGCTCTGCATGTTAGCTGGTTCCTGCTGGTCCTTCACCTGCTGCATGCTGCCAGCCTCTTCTGCACCTGTGACCAGCCAACTACCAGCCAAGTAACTGCCTACCCGCCTGCTCTCTGCCAAGTCCGAGGTCTGCTGTTCCTGCTGTTCTGGCCATCTGACCCATCTCTGGTGAAGGACCTGCTACTTACCTCTACAGTCAGCTGGACAACTTACAGGCACTCATACCTTGCTGCGCTCGCATGGCCACGGTCTCAACACCATCAGTGGTTCCAGAGCTGGGGCTGTAAGAGAGGCCTCCCTGTAGGCATCAGGCTCTGCAATAAAGTCCGTGACAGACCGCTATGCTGTGCCTCACCTTTCTGTCAGTAGTCCCATTTTCCTGGCCCGAGGCCCACCTGTCCACAAGATGCTTTTTTCAATGGTTTACTAAACAATGAAATCAGCGAGGGGCACCAATGGCCACGTTGTACTTTTTCTGGACAAATAGCAGTTGACAAATATTCCATCCTTTGCTTCTCTGTAGATCCCAGATACTCCGCTTGAAAATGGACCTATACAGCATTCCCCAGGGTCCCCTGGTCTCATTTCTGTAATTTATGCCTCCCTTAACAGTAGGTCCTTGTTAGGGATCCGGGAATGACCAGAAATGTGTGGGAACACAGGTGTAGTCAGGGCTGGAGAGGTGGAATGGTAAGGCAGGCCGTTTGGTACTGTTAAGCACCGCCTGGCGGCGTCTCTAGCAGCCCACAGCACGGGGTTCCTCAGGGCACAGGGTCTAAGTCCCAATCTGCTTATTCACCAGGGCCCCTGATGGTGGGGATGGACTTGGAGCAGACTGAGACCAGGCCGTGACCCCTGAGTACATCCAGCAATGGTAGAGAGCGTCATCAGAGGTGTGCGGGGAAAGGAGCCTGCCGTGAAGAGGCTGGCAGACCTGGTAAGAGGGACAGATCCGTGCGGGATGGATGGATGGATCATCTGGGTAGCGTAAGGTGTAGTCAGGCAGGCCAGGTCAGCAACAGTGCGGGCAGCGAGGTACCAGAGGAGCAGACAGAGAATGGTCAGGGTCACAAGCCGGGTTCAGTAACTCACGGGCAGCGCGGTACAGAGGAACAGGCAGAAGGATGGTCAGGCAAGCCAGGGGTTCAACAGGAGATGGTCAGCAAGGTCAGGAACAATGCAGAGGTCGGCAACAGAAGATTTACAGGATACCAGGTACAGGGGCTCATGGGAAACAAACACCAAGGCACTGATTGCAGGCCTGGTCCTGCTTAAATAGACCTCCTGCAATCAGCCTCAGGTGATGGCTTGATTGCAGGAGTGAGACCCTGGCTGCTGAAAGCACGCTCTGGTAGGAGCTGGTACTGCAGCCCACAGAGCAAGTGAGCCCAGCACCACCAGTGGTGAGTCCATTCCTGACAGTCCTCCTCACCAACCCTGTCTTATGTCTCTCAATGGGAGCAAGATCTGGGTGTCTCGATTGGCGTAGGGCCTGGGGGATGTTCATTCAATACAGTCACTCTTGAGGCAGCCTACAAAGTTCTTCTGTGGTGGTACTGGGTCCCGGCTCGGACTACTCACTTTACTGGCGGAGATAGGTATTTCCGGAACTGTGGTCTACGCGGGGACGTCTTGCACATTTGGTGGTTGTGATTGATAGGCTTCTGGTCTAGGGTTTTTGGTTTGCTACAAACGCTATTTCATATTATGGTCCGTAGGGATGCAAGGGTGGCCCTTCTGCATTGCCCAATTTTGGGTCTCAGCAGAAATTGGCATCCTACCTATTTATTTCGTCCAAACGTGTTATAGCTCAAGCTTGGAGAACCCCTTCAGTTGTTTTCCAGGGGGTAAAGACCTGGATGAATGCTATGTCGATCAATGAACAGATATCTAGCGTTCTTAATGATTCTCATCCGAGATTCTTTAAGGTTTGGGAACCTTGGATACGTTTATTCCCTGCCATCCCTGCCTCCTACTAGTTATGGCCTCTTATAGTCGCTGCCTGTGCTAGCCCTGGATCCGTGGTTCTTCTAGTTTCCCTTTCCTCCATGTTTTCTGATTCCTTTTATTTTTTTTTTTTTCGTTTTCTGTTCTTTATCCTTTCTTCTAACTTTTTTTCTTTTCTCTTCTTTTTCTGGTAATATGTTGGATTACTGCTGCTATTATTTGGTTCGGCTTTTTGCCGTCCCTCCTTGATGTCATTGGACATTTTGTTATTTGGCTAATACAAGTCAGCAGGATGTATCTGTTTATGTGTTCTTGTTCTGCTCTGCCCTGCGTGGGCGTATCTTGAGCTTGTTGTATTCTTAGAACAAAACTTTCTTAATAAAAATATTGAAACGGAAAATGGGCCTATAGACAAGTATGGGAGGACTTCATTTTCATTTGTGGGATCCAAGACTAAAAATTAGAGCCATGATAGGTGAGATTACACAATCATTCATATTATTATTATTATTATACAGGATTTATGGCACCAACAGTTTGCTCAGCGCTGTACAATATAACGGGAGACAATACAGCAACAATACAGATCAATACAAGAGGGATAGGAGGCCCTGATCCTGGGAGCTTACAATCTAGGAGGGAGGGGCTAGTGGTACAAAAGGTAGTAACTGTGGGGGATGGACTGGTTGCAAGAGTAGAAGATTCCATTATTAGCTGAGGGCAGGATAGGCTTTCTTGAAGAGATCGGTTTTCAGAGATCGCCTAAAAGTGAGCAGAGTAGGTGATAGTCTGATAAATTGGGGTAGAGAGTTCCAGAGGATGGGGGAAGCTCTGGAAAAGTCCTGGAGACGAGCATGGGAGGAGGAGACAAGGGAGCTAGAGAGCAGGAGATCTTGCGAGGAGTGGACGGTTTGGGTGATATTTGGAGACAAGATCGTTGATGTAATTTGGGGCAGAGTTAGAAATGGCTTTATTGCTTATTGTTATTGTTAATGTTTTGATTTTATCCGTTGGGCAATGGGAAGCCAGTGGAGGGATTGGCAGAGAGGGGTGGAGGACACTGAGTGGAGGTCAGTGGAGGGATTGGCAGAGAGGGGTGGAGGACACTGAGTGGAGGTCAGTGGAGGGATTGGCAGAGAGGGGTGGAGGACACTGAGTGGGGGTCAGTGGAGGGATTGGCAGAGAGGGGTGGAGGACACAGAGTGGAGGTCAGTGGAGGGATTGGTAGAGAAGGATGGAGGACACTGAGTGGTGGCCAATGGAGGGATTGGTAGAGAGGGGTTGAGGACACTGAGTGGAGGCCAGTGGAGGGATTGGCAGAGAGGGGTGGAGGACACTGAGTGGAGGTCAGTGTAGGGATTGGTAGAGAGGGGTGGTGGACACTGAGTGGAGGCCAGTGGAGGGGTTGGCAGAGAGGGGTGGAGGACACTGAGTGGATGCCAGTGGAGGGATTGGCAGAGAGCAGTGGAGGACACTGAGTGGAGGTCAGTGTAGGGATTGGTAGAGAGGGTGTGGTGGACACTGAGTGGAGGCCAGTGGAGGGATTGGCAGAGAGGGGTGGCAGGTAAAGAACGGTTAGTAAGGTGGATGAGTCTGGTAGCGGCAGTCATGATAGACTGAAGAGGGGATAGCCTGCGATTCGGTAGGCCAATGAGGAGGGAGTTGCAATAGTCAAGGCGAGATATAACCAGGGAGTGAATAAGTTGCTTAGTGGTTTCCGAGGTTAGGAACGGCCGTATCTTGGAGGTGTTGCGGAGGTCGGAGATGTTGCGGAGGTTGGAGATGTTGTGGAGGTTGGAGATGTTGCGGAGGTTGGAGATGTGGCGGAGGTTGGAGATGTTGCAGAGGTTGGAGATGTTGCGGGGTCGGAGATGTTGCGGAGGTTGGAGATGTTGTGGAGGTTGGAGATGTTGCGGAGGTTGGAGATGTGGCGGAGGTGAAGTCTACAAGATTTGGACAGAGATTGGATTTGGGGGTGAAAGGACAGATTACACCTAAAGTCTAAAGTCTAAAGCTAGGATTACACCTAGTACCCTGGCATGAGGGGAGGGACTGATGATTGTGTTATTGACCATTGAAGAGGAATCTTTTTATTTTTTTTAATTTACTTATTTAGGTGAATTATATTTCCTATATAATAGAATTGTTACCTCATACAGGTATTGTGTGGCCCTCACAAGGGCGTATCTACGGGAATTATGCTCTGAAATCAACGTGACATGTTAACATTACATAGCGCCTTTCTACTTTAATATCCTTTCAGGAGGCCGAAACTAAAAATTACAAAGCGCCATATCTCCGTGTTTGATTTTTTCATTATCTCCTCCATCAAGGATTCCTCAACCCCATTAAACCAAGCGCACATTACTCATCGACGGGTGAAGACAGAGGATTCACTTTCTTCCTGCGCATGCTGAAAGATGGATGCTTTTGTTCTTTGTGGGAACAGTCTAGCGCTGAATCCATCACGATGTTATAATACGTTGTCGCTTCCCTTTCTGTAGCACAGCAGAGATAACGTGGCAAACAAGGAAATTAATTCATTTTAGGACTGATCAAAGTGATAGAGTGTGAGATTTTCATTTTATTTCTAGAAACATGCTGTATCCTTGCATCACCCAGTAGTGGCTCACTTACCCGGATTACCGGGATACGACATTCATTATTTACCTGCAGCACTGTAACAGAAAAATAATTACTGGGTGCAAAAATAGTACGAGATTACACATCCAGAGACATAGGTTTTTTTCTGTCTTTGTTGTCAGAATCACATTTCTGGCGTGTGAAGTAAACCATTGTTGAGCATAGGACTTAAAAAAAATATCAACTGGAAATACAGTGAATGGTACGGTGTTGGTCTTCATAGCTAATCAGAGCCATGACTAGATAGGGCCACTGCCAATTGTGCGTCATTCAAGTCGGAGAGGGGGGAGTCAAATCTAGGAGAGCGAGAAGTGTGGTTCAATGTCCTGGTAAAGTTAGGCCCAAAGCAATACAAAAGAGAAGCATGGACGTGGGGCCAACATGACTGGGCTAAAAATTGTTTGGCATAGGAGGCTTTTTTTTGTTGGTTGAAGTAAATGGCTACTTACCCAATTGGTGCGTCAGGCAGGGACAGGAGGGGCTTCAGAAGATGGTCAATAGGAGGGTCCTAGAAAGTCTTCAGAGAGCATTAGGAAAACTTCCCACCCTTTCCTCCCTTTTTTAGTTTTGGTGGATGACATAGCATTCTGTTGGGGACAGTTACGGGTTTGGTGTGGATAAGTCATAGCAGCTGGTGGTTTGCAAGTTCCTTGAAGGCCATTGTGAGCAAAATGTACATTGGTAGGGATCTGTCTTAGGTATGGCTTCCTTTATTTTATTATTTAACTAAAAAAGGGAGGGAAGGGTGGGAAGTTTTCCTAATGCTCTCTGAAGACTTTCTAGGACCCTCCTATTGACCATCTTCTGAAGCCCTCTACTTCAACCTCAGTGACAGTGAACTGGGGTCGTTTGTGACTGGCCAGGCAAACAAGACTGGGTTAAAATGGGTTTGGCATAGAAAGGTTAAAATAAATAGGGATCAAGAGGTACTTACCGATTTGGTGGGTCATACAGGAACAAGAGGGGCTTTAGAGGATGGTCAACAGGAGGATCCTAGAAAGTCTTCAGTCGGAAGAGAGCTGGTATCTGGAAAAGTTCCCACCATCCCTTCTTTAGTGTTAGTGGATGATGTTGTATTCTGCTGGGGACAGTTACGGGTTTGGTGTGGATATGTCATAGCAGCTGGCGGTTTACAAGTTCCTTGAAGGCCATTGTGAGCAAAATGTACATTGGTAGGGATCTGTCTTGGGTATGGCTTCCTTTATTTTATTATTTAAGTAAAAAAGGGAGGAAGGGTGGGAAGTTTTCCTAATGCTCTCTGAAGACTTTCTAGGACCCTCCTATTGACCATCTTCTGAAGCCCTCTACTTCAACCTCAGTGATAGTGAACTGGGGTCGTTTGTGACTGGCCAGGCAAACAAGACTGGGTTAAAATGGGTTTGGCATAGAAAGGTTACAATAAATAGGGATCAAGAGGTACTTATCGATTTGATGGGTCATACAGGAACAAAAGAGGCTTCAGAGGATGGTCAACAGGAGGATCCTAGAAAGTCTTCAGTCGAAAGAGAGCTGGTATCTGGAAAAGTTCCCACCATCCCTTCTTTAGTTTTAGTGGATGATGTTGTATTCTGCTGGGGACAGTTACGGGTTTGGTGTGGATATGTCATAGCAGCTGGCGGTTTACAAGTTCCTTGAAGGCCATTGTGAGCAAAATATACATTGGTAGGGATCTGTCTTGGGTATGGCTAGTTTTTTTTTTGTATGTTTCAGTGATAGTGGACTGGGGTCATTTATGCCTGTCCAGGCAAACAAAACTGGGTTAAAATGGGTTTGGCATAGAAGGGTTAAAATAAATAGGGATCAAGAGGTACTTACCGATTTGGTGGGTCATACAGGAAAAAGAGGGGCTTTAGAGGATGGTCAACAGGAGGATCCTAGAAAGTCTACAGTCGGAAGAGAGGTGGTATCTGGAAACGTTCCCACCATCCCTTCTTTAGTTTTAGTGGATGATGTTGTATTCTGCTGGGGACAGTTACGGGTTTGGTGTGGATATGTCATAGCAGTTGGCCTTGAAGGTGGTTATTATGGGCAAAGTGTACAATGGGGGGGACCCGTCTTAAAGCGGTAGTAAACCACCTAAAAAAAAAATCCCCTGCAAGGTAACAGCATAATGTACTAGTATGCATTGCACAGTAGCACATTATGAAGTACTTACCTTAAAATGAAGCCCTCCAGCAGCGCCCTGTCACCACTGCAGAGGCCTCCATCTTCACCCGGTTTTCCTTCGGGGTTAGCGAGCTCCGGCCATCTGGCTGGCTGAGCAGGGGTGATGTCACTCCCGCGCATGCGCACTGGAGTCTTGGACACGGCACAGTGCTCTGAAGGAATGGTACAGCTATGCCGTTCTTTCAGAGCGCATACAAGTAAGTTTTATTATAATTATAATGTCATTAACATGTCATGTATGCAATTTGTTGATAAAGGGCTGCTATGGTCAATTAAACTCCAGTTTGTGTCACGTGTGGTCACTTATTTATGGATAAATGGTGGAATGGTGATCAAGTGGTATTGGAGACAAATCATCTTTATTACCCTAGTCAAGATAGACTGGCATTCATGGGCACAGCCATTGGTTGCATCAAAATTTGTGGCATATACTGTATATGTCCATATGGGAAGATGTTATCAAACATGAAACTTGGAGTTGCTGCCTCCAACATGCGTAGTTCATTAATTTCTTTGACATGACAACGGGTTCACCATAAGGGCCCATTCACATCAGACTGATCAGCTGCATTGCATTTAACAAATTGTGGTTGCTTAGTATGATACATAGTGGAGTGGTGGTCATGTGATATTGGAGGCAATTAGTTTTTATTACTTTAGCCAAGATAGACTGGCATCCATAGGCACAGCCATTGATTGCATCAAGATTTCTTGAATATGCTGTATATGCTCACATGGGGAGGTGATACAAAAGGAACATGAAACTTGGAGCTTGGTGCTAGATTTTGATGGCTGTTCAAGTTGGGGAAGCCAACCATAGGGCCCATTCACACAGGACTGTGAAGCTTGCCAAAGTGCTTTATCACGAAGTAATGCACGTTGGTTAAAAGAGACGACTCCTTTACACAAGCACTGCCCGAACAGTAGGGGGCCACATGAGATCTGGTACCTTTTGCATAGGCTGTTTTTTTGAGTTGGTAAGTGACACAGGGGCCCCATGATCCTCATTGCCGGGGGCCCCATGGTTGTCAGTCCACCCCTGGATGCATTCAGAATCAAAGAAGTTCCACAACACCCCAACGCAACGTAGACATGAAAAGTGGCATGAATGGGCATGAGAGGTGGTTACACTGATGATTAAAGCAAATTTCCACTTTGGCAGTCAAATTTGAAAATCTCATGTTATTTCGTTCCCTTTGATAGAGCACATCTAAGGATGTTTTCAATTTGTAAACATATCTAGGTACCTTTCTTGTTGTTTCTTAGAGATTTATACATAAAATGCTATATTGCTTAGAATAGACCAAAGTGTGAAGTTAACATACAATGTACCTTTAACCCGATGGCCTAGAGGTTTGAAGGGTAATGCAGGCCATCCACAAAAATCGGCAGATTTTGATGCATTTAGTGAGTTGTGGTTACTTAGGTTGGATAAATGGTGGAGTGGTGGTCAAGTGGTATTGGAAACACATAATATTTATTTTATCAGTCAAGATAAGTTGGAAAATGCGGCCTAGTTTGACTTTGGGCTCCGATT